ATGTCAGTTTTGCTGCAGCAGGTTCTTTACATTGTACAGATCCGCCACTTTACAGGCAATTTAAGGGGACCCCTCCAGGCACGATATTTGAAAGGAATTTTTTATTTTTATTTTGACCCTTTAAGCAATTTTAAAACCACTGCTCCTTTAAAATGTTTCATTTTTTAAAATATTTTTTTTCATTGATTCCTCTCCCGCAGGGCAGTACACGGATCCCCATACACTATTTATGGCCAATACATTGCATATAAGCCTTCTTAAAGGGGACAATTGTTTTTGAAAGTTCTACCCCCATAGACTTGCATTGAGTTCGAATTTGAATTTTTTGGATGTTCTAAAGTTTGAATTCGAACCGAACTCAGGCCTGTTCGGCCCATCACTATTCATCATCAGACAAAAGAAGTTAAAACGTAACTGCACTTCAAGGGTAGTTACACTTATTTTCACACCATTTCCAGTATTTGGCTCACCTTTCCTCCATCCACCAAACTCTTGGCTGTGTGGCCTCCTCTGTGCCACACAGTTTCTGGTCAAAATCCTCTTGGCCTAGACATCTGTGTGCACGGCCGTAATCTCTTTTGAATACTCTGGACTGTGGATATAATGTTGGAGTACAATCCTGTTCTGCCTATCTACATGACTCCACAACGGGCCTGAAAAATCTTCCTCTTCAGAGGTGACCCCATGCTGAGACATGCAATATTATACACAAAGAGGGCCGCTATGTTTCTGAATACAGGGGACATATGCTGCTGATTACTAATGTCCACTTTCTGTATACCACTCCCTTACATTCCAGCCAGTACAACACCCACTCAGGTTAAAATAAACCTATGTTGCAAGAAATATGTGGGCTGCCATTGCTTATCACCCTAAAATGATAGTTATTTGGCTTCAATTTGTTTTTGTATCACTGCTATAAAACCAGCATGCAACACGTAAAATCAGAACTTCTTATCTGCATACTTGTTCTGTCCCAGGATATTGATCAAAGCCTTAGAGTCACCATGTACTATACAATCTAACCATATAGTCACTGTACAATCTACTCTAGATTTACCAAGGCTATGTAATTTGTGGACCTATTTGTTCCATCTATGCAATTTGAATTCAATCAGACAGGCCCATGCACTACATAGTTGCTGGTAGATTTAAAGGTGATTGTATATCAGACCGATGTAAACCGCAATGCAAGTAGCATTTTCAAAAAGAAGTCAGCAATGTTATCCAAACATTCTTGCCTCTATACAGGTTTGCTTTAACATACTTATGTTATGATGCTGATCATGGGAGGTGTTATATTGCTAGCATGTAGAGATTGAAAGGTTAAGCACTATTTAACTATTAAAAACACACCTATGTTTTTATCTTCTGCATGTAAAAAGGAGGAGGGGAGCTATGAAAGGGAATAAATCAGACTACCAATGAATGGCTAATCTTCCTGAGTCAAATCATTTACTTTTTCAGTTATAAATTGCATTGTATAATTTTCTTGCACAGAGATGCAACACAGAGACATCCTACAGACGGACACTTGCTCTTTTTTTTATTTAAGCACCAGCCCCAAAAAATCTCTGCATATATCTGCCGATTATTTGATCTTTTAGTTTAAAAAAAAAAATCACACTTTTGTACTTTGAACACTGTTTTAAACACATTTCCACATGGATTTTCACACACTGCAGTACATTCTAACATAGTTTTTGAAAATGCTTGTGTGTTTTTTTTACATATGTTTTATGAACATCTGGTGCTGTCGGTCGGTTGGAAAGGTAGCAGCAGAGGAGGCTCTCTAATGAGGCAAAGTTTGATTCAACTGTGCTCTATAGTATTCCTCTTTGCTCCAACTCTGGCAGCAACATATGTAGGGAAATCAGTGGAGGGGTGGAGATGGGCCAGCATAGAATGTAATCAGAAGAGAGGAGAGGGCTATGGCATGCAAGCAGAGTGGGGGCTGTCTTAGGGAACTGAGTAGTCAATTTGTCTAGGAACTTCAAGGGAGTGAATAAAAAATAATTTATGGCAAGGATATAAAATATTTGATATTTTTGTGCAATGTTTTAAGTTGTGACAGGGTCACTTTAAGCACGGGGGGGGCTTGTGCAGGATTCACATTACTCCCCTAAAGAAAGCCCGTAATATGCTGACAGAAAAAAATACTGAGGAGAAACAACTGTCAAAGAAAGATAAAGTCTTTGAAATCCAGTTATTGGTTTGTTGATCTTTCGGCTGAAGTAAAAGAGTCAGTGACAGGTGAGTAAACTTAAGATTTTCCCTTAGCTATAGTCTTGCTTCTTTGCAGATCTGCTCAGCAACCACAGTCTCACCTGTAATTAGAAAATGAGGGAACTGAAATTAGGCCACAGCAGCATCATCTCAGGATTCTTAAGGGTTCCTTCATACGTGCGTTGGGAATTTAATGAAAGAGCAACGCTGATTAACACCCCTATAACGTTAACAAGGCATTTCGGCAGGTATTTTCAAGGCATTAAGGAGGCGTCAAAAATGTTTACAAAATCCCTGCAAGTAATTTCAACATACTTCAATGGAGGCATTTGTTCAGCAGCAATGCTTCAGAATGCAACATGCACTCTATTTTTTGACACACAGCAACATAACGCTAATGCGCATGTGTGATCTGCACTGGGTGGTTGCTATTGCATTATCCCACATAAGCTATAATAGGCGGCAGAGAGGCATTCAAAATGTTTCCCTAATGCAGTGTTTTAACACACATGTGAAACAGGCTTTAGGAAAAACTTCAATTTCCCCTTTATCTTTCTCACTGGGTTATACAGAAAAAAATATACTCACCCACCCAGTGATCCAGTGGTGTTCTCGGATTGTTAGAGTGTAGGGGGTTAGGAGTGATATGAAAGAACCCTAATCAATAAACTTTTTACAGTAATTAAATAAAGGGGGAGATGGGTTCAGGAGTCCCATGGGGCCACCATGTTAATCACTGCGTCCCTTCCATTCTCATGGGATTTTGGATACTCAGCTCTCCCAAGGGGGAGTGTTGAGTCACAGTGACATTCCTTCAGCAAGTTGCCGCAAACTGGGGTCTGAGGTAAGTATTTTTGTCCTTCTAATTTTTTTAGCCTCTCATAAGTGTTTTTATATAGGGGTGGAAGCTTCCAGATAAGTGGATCATGTATTTTTCATTCAAGGCCTTCCTTAAAGTGATATTAACATCAAAAGGTTTTTTACTTTTTCATTGCTAGTTAAATCACTTACAATGGATGCTGATCCTAGATGTCTAAAAGTGTAGTGCTCACCCCCGAAGGATCCCCTAGATAAAATGGTCTCTCCTAGCCTGTCTAGGGTTTACAATAGGGTTGCTGCTCCATAAGCACTTACCAACCCTCCAGTGGCAATAAAACTGAAGTCCACACAAGAGATGCATTGCTGATTAACTTTATTGTAGAACTTTGGGAGAGAGGGTTAGGGCACAGGACACCCAGGATGTAATAGACTCCAAAAAAATGGTAGAACAATGTACTTGTAGCCTTCACAGATAGAGGACTTCAATCAAAAGCTACTAGTCCATTTCAGATTAAATCTCCATGGTACCACAGAACATCACTTCTCAGGCTCCCCGCACATGCTGAAGTTGCTCTCTGTCATCTCCGTCCTCAGCTCCACTTGCTATGCCCCAAACCCAGGTCTCAGTGTGAGCACATGGCTTTTCTCCCTAGGCTTCATACCAAGACAGGTCAGACAATCCACAGTAGCTCCCCCTCCCCAGGCAGGAGCCCAGGGGACAAAGAGAGCCTCACATGGTCCACCGCAAATATGTATGTCTTCTCTCAGCATGCACCACTGGCCATGAACCTCCTAGTGATTGGCTAGGGAGACCAAGGACATAACATACTATTATTGGTTGCTCTCCTCTGTGGTAAAGTTATGCCCAGCAGTAGGCAGATGCAAATGATAACAGAGTGCTTAGGAGAAACCAAATTAGCAATGACTATTAGATCAGGATCAGACTAACTACAATCTGACAGCAATTACATTTAAATAGACACTCCTGTTTATGACAGGGGGTCTACCAAAGTATCAGTTTCCTGCAGAATCAGCTGGTCCCCTGAGCACTGGCCCTGATATCCTGTTTGAGGGTGGCTCCTTTCTCTTGCAGGATCATATGGGCCCCCCTTGTGTGTGCTAGTAAGCTGTGTGTGTCTTCACAAACACACAGGCACAGCAAGGTACAACAAGTCACTCCCCTGCTCCCCGATCCTCCCACCTCCTTTCTTCAAGCTAGTAGATGGATAGTTGCTGGGGACTATGCTCTGCCTTGTGATCCTGTACTGGACAGGAAGTTCTGGGAAGCTGAGCTGAAAGAGTTGGAGCCAGCTGTTCTCAAAAATAATGATTATAAGTGCTTGGGTGAAAATATAAAGAAATAGTTTGCTGGGCAATATACTGTATATTTGTTTTTGGATTCTTTATTGAAAAAGAAGTTTGATAGTTTAATACTACTTTAAGTAAAGGTTACCCCTTGTTACATACTTACCTCTCCTGCACTTGGATCCTCTGCACCTTAGACTAAGCTTCCTGTGCTAAAAGTATTCTGCTTGTTCACTTCATCTCTAAATACAGGAGTACTGTACTGAACTCTTCCTATTCTCTTTTAAACTGAAATGTATTCCTAAAGTTTCTTTCTTTAAAACTAATTTTCTATTCATATAACGTAAGCCCGACTCATCATTTTAGGAAATAAAGTGACAAATATTTATTACAGCAGGCCATTGCAGTGCAAGCATGCCCTGAGGTCATCTAGTCCTCTAGATTTCTATAGCTGCTTCTATCAAGGCCCTCTTGGTAGCCCAAGGGATTTAAAAAAATCTGGTAGAACAGTGCAAGATTAACTCATGCCTGCCTTGAAGTTTCAGCGTGCACAGAAAACTACAATCCAGTCTTCAGTCTGATCAGAAGAAGTTAAACTTTTTTCTCCAGCCACTTCATCTCCGCCACTCCCCCTGACAATTGATTAAGGAGGTGGAACAAGTAAAGAAAGCAACTATTCACTGATCAGCTCCAATCTGGTATGTTCATTTCAGTGCTGTAGAAATACATTATGTTGAGCTGCACAGATTTACTTCTGCTAGATTAAGAGGAACTTTCATACTTTAGTCCTTAGAGAACAGCCTGTGATGTGTGCCTTGCTGTGTTTACATTTTGTCTTGTTAGCAGTTGGTGTTTCCTGTTTTCACCAGCTAGTAGTTTTAGACTCTTAGACTATGTGAATTCTGTATCATCCTTGTGTTTCTTTTTGTTGTCACAACATAAACTTTGCCAGCTGTATTTTATGTACTGGTTTGAGATGGATCCAGTTTTGGGAATGCATCCCTTCCGAAGAAGTTAAACCTACACTTATTATATTGCTGGGAAATATTCATTATTATCTGGAAAAAAAACACTTGATCTTTTAGAAAATTAGCTTTATTCTTCTCGGGCTGAAGGAATAAGACCTTGTAATTTAGTTACAACCTGGGACAGTACACATGGCCTTCCTGCTGGCCATAATAGATTAATCTTGATCCTTGTGTTATTCATTAGAGAAATACATGTGCAGCCATTGATGGCCACTTTCTGAAAATGCTGATCTGGAACAAGCCATGCAGCCAGTAAAGCAAAAGCTGATTTTTCTTCAACGTCTCTGACTCATTAAAGACCAAGCATTACCATGACAGTTAGACAATTCCCATTTTTATCAGGCATTCAACAAAGGTAGACTATTTCGTTTTCCTAAGCTGCAAATAAGCCTCCTTGGAGTGTTGCAGGTTGATCGGGATTGCTTCATTGTCCTGGCAGGGATGTGGAAGCTTCTCCTGTAAAACTATTACAAGAAAACTAAAATGAGACAAAGTTCATAAATCCCACTTTCAATGGTATAGTTAGCAGACCGAAAGGGAGCAAATAAGGGAAGTTCATTGTTAGGTTTCACTTTTGCAACCTAATTGGCCTGCATAAATAAATGCCTGACATGTCACACTGTATACCACAACAGTATTGTTTTTTCAGAAAAGCTGTACATTTTATCATTAAAACAATTATTCTGTCCAGTAACTGCCTAGGACGAGACAATGTCACTAATCTGCAGCAGGCAGAAGGAAGAATTTCATCATTCTCCCTCTCCCCTGAAAATCAAGCTGAGATGATGTCAACAGTCTACTTCAGGCAGGAGGAATAGTTTTCTTGGTCCCCCTCTCACCCAGTGATCATGCTGGGGTTGTCATCAGTCTGCTGCAGACAGGAGGAAGCATTTCCTTAGTCCCCTCTCCCCCAGTGATCAGGCTGAGATTATGTCCTCAGTCTGCTGCAGGCAGAAGGAAGAATTTCCTCAGTGCCCTCTTCCCCAGTTATCAGGCTGAGATTATGGGATCAGCCTTCTGCAGACAGGAGGAAATATTTCCTCAGGACCCTCTTCCCCAGTGATCAGGCTAAGTTTGTCATCACTCTGCTGCAGACAGGAGGAATCATTTCCTTAGCCCCCCTCTCCCATAGTGATCAGGCTAAGATTGTCATCAGTCTGCTGCAGACAGCAGGAAGAATTTCCTCAGTCCCCTCTCCCCCAGTGATCAGGCTGAGATTATGTTACCAGTCTGCTGCAGACAGGAGGAAGCACCCCCTCTCCCCCCGTGATCAGGCTGAAAATATGATATCAATCTGCTGCAGACAGGAGGAAGCATTTCTTCAGGATCCTCTCCCTCTGTGATCAGCCTAAGCATATGTCATCAGTCTGCTGCAGACAGGGGGAATCATTTCCTTAGTCCCCTCTCTCCCAGTGATCAGGCTGAGATTATGTCCTCAGTCTGCTGCAGGCAGAAGGAAAAATTTCCTCAGTCCCCTCTCACCCAGTGATCAGGCTGAAATTATGTCATCAGTCTGCTGCAGACAGAATGAAACTTTTCCACAGTCCCCTCTCCCCCAGTGATTAGATTGCAACACTGCAACTTTGTACTAAGGTGTGAGGCTGCAGCAGAGGCTGATCTGTATCAGAGGACACAGCCAAGAACTGTGCAGGCACCAGGATTGACATGATTGTGTCATCTCTGAATCAACATCTCAGTCTTGCAGGTAGATACAGTTCCTGGATGATGCATGAGCAGAGATGGCTCCTTCTAAAGGTGCCCATACACCTTACGATTATCGGACGATAATCGTATGCGATCGACTTTTCGAATGACAATCGTACGTGTGAATAGAGTGCCAGAACCGACATTACTGTACAATCGTACGACTTTTGACGGTCAAGCATGTTTGAAAACTTTGCTCGATCGTACGATTGTCGTAAGGTTGCTGGCGTTTCCGTCCGTCAAAAGTCATACGATCTACACTGCGCATGCGCGAACAAAAATGTGACAAATCAGTTACCGCATTTCGTCCAGGTGCTTTTCGTTAATTAAGGCTAAATTAACCTTGCGATCATCGGGGCAGGATGGGGCTGTCGTACGAAAATCGTACGACTATTCGATCATCGGACGAAACGTTTCGTCCGATAATCGTAAGGTGTATGGGCAACTTTAAAAACAAAACAAACTTTTGTAAGTGGAGTGCTGTGATCTCTGAGAGAGACAATACTGTAAATTCCTGGAAGTATTACATTGACACAGTACTTCATATGAATGCATTTAATATGAAGAAAAAACAGCTTTTGCTACAATATTAACCTTCAATCGAAAGATTTCTCCTGCAGTACTTTTTTATGCTGCTGGATGTCCTCACTTTAATGGCCAGCTCAGTTCCTCTGAGCCCAGGTCATCCCTGCCTGTAACTGGACAACGTGCCATAACGTACCGATGTCTTACAACGGATTGCGTTAGTGTGAATGTCCAGGTCAGTGATTGCAAAACTACTGAAACATGGGATCAGCCAGGCAATTAGCATTTTCAGTAGGAAGTCAGCAATTTAAGCCTCTGTATTTCTCTCATGATAGATTTCCTTTTAACAAGCACTTGACCTGACCTTACATTCCCAAGATGTGTCTCCTCTTTGCTGAAGGGATTATTCCCCCAGGCGCCGCTGGCTGCAGGTGACACGGCCACAGGTTACGCTATTCATGTGGATTTCACATCATACAGTTATCTAGACGTCATGAAGAAATTACCATCTTACAAAGTTGTTATGCAGTTGGTAAATGTACAACCAGTCTAGAATCCAATAAAGCCTTGTGCCAATATTTTATTCCAGGAAGAGGATTTCATTGGAAAACCTGAGCAGGATTCCAAGGAGCTTCTTTGTACAGTACAAATCTTGCCTGCAGGAGGGATCTAATCCAGGGCTGGTTTTCTCCTGCACTCCCACTAAATACACACATCTGCTGCCAGGAAAGTCAGAACTGCAACTTCAAAAATGTACTTTGGTTTGACATGGCTCTCAAAGCAAGGATTCCGAAATACACGACTGAAAAAGAAAGCACTGAACAATCTTGGCTCCCAGACTGTCACCAGGGCAGGTGGAAAGGGTGCAGAAGCCTGGGGGAAAAGGGGTCTCTCCCAACTTTGTGCCAAGAGCCAGACCCAGCATGTCCCTATCGCTTACTGCAAACACCTCTCATACCAATCGTATTCTACTGTAAACACCAGCTCTGATCATTACCAACATGTGTTCCGAGCTTCAGTGCAGGACCCTGAGCAGGTCTGGGGCAATGCGGCATGCAACATCACGTGGTTCAAACCATGGAGCAAACTTATGGACAACTCCAATCCCCCATTCACAAAATGGTAAGTGCATATGCTCCCTACTGGTTTTTAGACGGCAGTCATATCTGTTGCAGAAATTATATAAGTTCACGCTTGTGGATATACAATATTCCTTACTTAAAGTGTTACTAGCTGCTTTGCAGTCATATCTGTTGACATGCATTTTTTTTAACTTCCTTAACTACTTACTATAACACTACAACACCTAGCATGCCCTAGCAACATGATTAGACTTCTATATGTTATCTGTATATGTTTAGATCCCTATTTTATAAGCTATAACACAATTGCAAATAAGTTGTCCAGAACTACAACACTCAACATGCCCTAGCAGCATAATTGGAATTCTGTATGTTATCTGTATATCTTTGGATCCCTGTGTTTATCAACTAGAATGTGATGGCAATTAAATTGCCCAGAACTGCTAAACTCAACATGCCCTAGCAGCGTGATTAGACTTCCACATGTTATCTGTATATGTTAAGATCCTTGTTATTTGTGTTATCTACTATAATGCAAAGGCAAATAAGTTGTCCAGAACTACAACACCCAGCATGCCCTAGCAGCACGATTAGATTTCCACATGTTATCTGCATATGGTTAGATCTCATGTTGTTTGATACCTGTGTTATCAACATAATGCAATTGCAAATAGGTTGTTCAGAGCTACAATACCCAGCATGCCCTAGCAGCATGAGTAGATTGCCACATGTTATCTGTACAGGTTCAGATCCCATTGTTTGATAGCTGTATTATCAACATAATGTAATGGCAAATAAGTTGCCTATGTGGCATGACATGGCACCAAAAGACCTCGGGAGATAAAGCTACTGACTGTTCCCCCTTTGATCTTTTGGCAACTGCCAGTTCACATGCTTGAAAGGGGGAATTTATCAAAACTGGAGCAGACAAAATCTGCAGCAGCTGTGCATGGTAACCAATCAACATCCACCTTTTAATTTTCAAAGCTTAATTGAACAAAGTGAAGAAAGAAGCTGATTGGTTGCCATAGACAACTGCTTCAGAGTTTGTCTGCTCCAGTTTTGATAAATTTTTTTTTTAAGTTTACGTTGGCCATACACTGGTAGATTTTCTTATGAACATTCATATGGAAAATCTTTTCAGAACATTTTATAATCCCATCAGAGACTTGACGAATGTCGGAAATTTGATTTTAAAATGCAATTTTAGAATGAATGGAGTTTCCCAACTAAAAACCTAATTTACTGTTATCATTTCGTTTGTTTGAGAAAAATGATTTCATCCTGCTGCATTATATTTTTTTCATCACTCTGATCGGATACAATTATCAGTTTGACCCCATTAACTATTAGTTCCCATTCACACCTGACCGTTTTGTAGTGCGTCCTACGCTCGATGAACGCACTACAAAACGGACCAAAAAGTAAATAGCATTGAAGTCAATGGTATAGTTCCCACCTGTCCGTATTTCCGCCCGTCCCGAACGCACTACAAAACGGCCCACGCATGAAAAGGTCCCGAAGCGTTTTTGCTGCGTATTGGTCCGTTTTGTAGCGCGTTAGTGCCCATAGACTTCGACGGGAACGGACGAAATCACTGAAATTGCGCATAGAACGCGCGTTCCACACATGTCTACAGAAGACCACTCCCCCAGAGAGCTGTTGGAGAAGAAAAGATGGAGGATTGTGCCATGCTGGATTCTGAGGCCTTTATTAGACAGGTGCAGGGAAGGCCATGTATATATGACATGCGCCATGCGCATTACAAAAACCGTCGCATAAGGCAACGTGCCTGGGTGGAGATAGCGGAAGCTTCGTGGCCGGACTGGGAAACCTTCCCAAAGCAAGTAAAAGAATCAAAAGGTACATTAGCAAATGTAGAATATTTTCTTGCAGAAGGTATGCACTGTTATGCGTCATGCGTGCATTGATTGCATAGACTTGTGTTCATCATTTACGTGAAACATGCGTGCATGTCTGCTATGTTTTCATGCAGAATGCATGCAGTGTGTACTGACAGGTGCGCATTTTTTTTCAGTAGTATTTTAATGTGCAGCTATTTTAATGTGACATGCGTGCAGCTATAGTAATGTCCCATGCGTGCTGCTATTTTAATGTCCCATGCGTGCTGCTATTTTAATGTCCCATGCGTGCAGCTGTTTAATGTCCCATGCGTGCAGCTATTTTATGTGACATGCGTGCAGCTATTTTAATCTCCCATGTGTGCCGCTATTTTATTGTAACATGCGTGCTATTTTAATCTCCCATGCGTGCAGCTATTTTAATGTCTCATGCGTGCAGCTATTTATGTCCCATGCGTGCAGCTATTTTAATGTCCCATGCGTGCAGCTATTTAATGTCCCATGCGTGCAGCTATTTAATGTCCCATGCGTGCAGCTATTTAATGTCCCATGCGTGCAGCTATTTAATGTCCCATGCGTGCAGCTATTTTAATGTCTCATGCGTGCAGCTATTTATGTCCCATGCGTGCAGCTATTTTATTGTAACATGCGTGCACTTATTGTTATAAACAAAATACTCAAGTCTGTTTTCAAATCAAATATATTTTATTGGTATCAGATGAAGGGAAAAAGTTAAATTTTTTGAGGGGAATCAAGATTGAATCGCTTGCATCTGCCATGTCACCTCCCCCTCAGGTGTCATGAAGTATGCAGCGAATCGGTCACGAATGCTGCCACTATTCGTTGTTCCACGCCTGCCGCTGCATTGGCTACTCTCCATGGAGTGCTCCAATGAATCATCAAAATTAAACCCATCTCTGCAACGTACAAAATTGTGAAGAGCGCAAGCTGCCTTCACCGCAGAGATGGCGTTTTCAAGTTTGAGGTTTATTGGCGAGTGCAGGAAGCGCCATTTATTGGAGAGTATGCCAAAGGCACACTCCACAACCCTGCGTGCTCTGGTGAGCCTATAATTGAAGACCCTCTTCTCCAGACTTAGCCCATGACCGGAGTAGGGCCTCATTAAATGCTCACCCAGGGCAAATGCATATTCTACTACGAATACATAGGGCATTTCAGGTTCAGCAGTGCCAGGCAGCGCGGCGTTCCCCGGGAGGTCAAGATCCCCGCTTCTCAACCTCAGTCCCAATTGTGAATG